ATGTGGAAGCTCCTATAATCCAATTTAGTCAAAAAAAAGTAAAAGAACAAAAGAAATGCTGCATTGACTCAAAACAACAAACACATTTTTGAACGTCTACCATCTAAGAATTATAAATATTTCAAATATTTAGATTAAAGAAGTAGCGGAGTTGGGTCGGACAATTATGCTTACTTACGACCCATGTATAATATCTGATTCATATTTCCTATAGGATTCACTGGAAAAACGGTTTTAGACCCTATATCTCTCAGGACGAAATTCTTAAAATTAGATTGGGAGAAATATCAAAAATTCCTACGCCTACGAATATGCAACCTTTGCATGTCGTCATACGGGGCCTGCCGATTAACATTTTTATACCCTCCTTCGTAAAAATAAGGGTGACATCCCTAAATATTCGTCTTTTACCCCATAAAGTATTTATATTCCTGATCAGCATAAAATTTTTAGTCGATTTAACGATGTCCGTCTGTTTGTCTGTTGAAATCACGATACAGCCCACATTATTAGATGTAGAGCTTCAAAATTTGGCACAACTATTTGTATTGTGTCTAGCATTGAAATTTAGGTATATCGGTCCCTGTTTGGTATAGCCCCCATAAAACGGTATCTCCCGATATTCGGTATTATGATGATTTTCGCCACATTTTGGTACCATATAATGGTACCTCCCGATGTTCTGTATTTTGACATTTTTGTAACATTTTCCACAGTAGAAATTGGTATTTGTAGTTCATAATGGGCTCTAACTCCGATGGTAGAAAATTGAATATATAGGTCTTCCTATAGCGCACACTTAACAGTACCCACCGATATTATATAGTTTGATAATCCTAGTCACATTTACCCACAAAATTGTCTAAATAGGATCCCGTTTTGGTATGGCCCCCATATAACGGATTCACCCACTTTATGAAAATTTTAGTTTAAAGTGGAACACACTTGAATTCGATGGTGGAGGGTATTAAAAGTTCGGCCGGAACGAATATTCTCCTCTTCAATTTTTGTAAGCAAAAAATTCGTTCAACATCATCAGATAACGGAAGGGCAACTCCTTGCTATGGAAAATGGCTCAATTTTGCCGCTGGACAAAAAATTGCATTAAACAGGACTCGTTTTGGGTGCATTGATTTTTCAATGTATGCGTGCTTGTTTACACACGGTCAAATTTTCGCACACATTCTGCATAATCACATGCATTTCAAAGTATTTTCACAATGTTTCCCATCATTATTTATGCGTATACATAACCATATTCGTTCAGCGATATATTAGACGATCCTTTATATATTTCATAACAGTATCCGTGTTGATCTAAACTTCGAACATCATAATACTTTCTTCGATAGTAATATGAAAGAGAATATAGTGGCTGATCAATTAGTGTGGGCTTTTTTCCAGTCAATTTATGAGACTGTCAAACCACCAATAAGATATTACGTCGGATGTTTAAAGAAGGCTCTCACAGAAAAAGCTGCCAGGAGATGAAATTTGGAAACCGATTGCAAGGTATCTTACGGCATCTGACCGACAATCTCGAATCTCGAAAATCCTACTCCCTTTAATGACCTCTGTAGTATCATATATCTGATCTCAAAAGGGAACAAATGTGGTTCTGAGAAAATTGAGCATCTTTTACAAAAATGTCCCATGTCCCACAACGAGCCCAAAAAAAATTACATCCGATTTGTTAGGAGATTCAAAATATCAGAAATATGGAGGCATTAAACCAGGAGCTCTACCGAAAAATGGACCCATATTGAACTTTTTTCCGCTGGAAGATAAACTACCTTCTGAGAAATGGTAAACTACAACCGATTTGGTTGGGTATAGGGACCTAGATCCTCAAAATGCTTAGGTGAATATTTTTTGAGAGAATTTGTATATACCCTCAGCTTATGTCTGACAATAAAATATATTTTGTCTTGATTATTTGAAATATTTACCTTTCAACGTGATGCTACCGAAGGAGCTGGCCAATATTTTCTGTTTTGTATGTGACCTAATATTAATTCTTTCCAGGTTGGGACTAGTTTCACTTATTGTTTAGAAAAAGTTAAACTTTTATGGAGGAAATTGGAGAAATAGTGGATGTATTAAAACAGGTACTACTAATGATGATAAAAATATTGAAATGTGCAATAATTATATACATTTATTTTTGTGGGAGGGTACCAGAACGAGTGAACCGACACATTGCATATTATATTACATCCATGGCTTATAGGAATATTATTATTTTACCCATTGTGGAGGAGGTCATGGTAGGTAGAACAGCTTCGTAAAACTACAGAATTACAGCCCTAAGGCTATGTCCGCTTCCTGTTAAACTCATTCAAAATTATATACAACAAGTTGCTTTTATTTATTTCATTTTTTAAATTAGTTAAATAGCGCGAAAAATGAATGAAATACCTAGATTTTCTCTCAGAAATATGATCCAAACTGTTAAAGCACCAGAAGGAATGGGCCGATATCTACCACCATCACATTAGATCTTGTGTTAGTGGGAATATTGAAATTTGTGATGTTTAGAATGAATCAGATGTGATTCATTATGAGAGATGTCATTATTCAAAATGTTTACCGTTTATGGGCGAGGTACCAGAAGAAGAGTTCTGAAATATTCGGGCTACAACCAAAGATCGTGTTGGTAGAAATATAAGGATGTTTGCGAAATTTGAAGCCAATGGATTCTTATTTCACATTTATTAGCAGTTAAGATTATTCAAAATTTCGGCCCTTTATGTGGGAGGTACTTGATGGAGTGGACCGATATGGCCCATTTTCGCAATCGACTTAAGCATAAAAATATTAAAATTTGGCAAAAATTTAACAAAATTGTATGATTCTATCTTCTTATATGAGGGAAATTATTTTCTATGAAAAAGTTGACCTTTTTGGGGCCAGAGTGGACCGATATTGCCCATCTCCGAACTCGATCAAATTTTGGCAATAATATTACGATGTGTCATGTTTGGATCAAATCCGACACTCCTTTCGAGAGTTATCGTGCGCACCAGCCAGAAATATAGGCGGACAGACGGACGGATACCCTTAGATCGACTACAAATGTCCTAAAACATATTTGATCCAAAGATATCCAGGGTCTAAAACCGTTATTTCGATGAGGCACGATATATACCAACTGTAGCAATATGGCTGAGGGTATATCAAAAAGTAATAGAGGGCTATATTCGCAAAAGTAGGCTGATCTTGAATATTTATTAAGTAGATTTCAAGCACCGACTCAGAATTCGAATATCAAATTTCAAATACAATTTGATATTCGAATTCTGAATTGCAAATACAATTTAGAATATAGACCTCTTTTACTTTTTAGTATACCCTCAGCCATATTGCTATAGTTGGTAGTAATAAGACTGAAAATTTGTCCTGGCCGAATTTTTAATACCCTCCATCATTTCGAATTTGACATGAAAATTAAAAAAAAAAAAATTCCCAAAAATACACCTTAAATGAAAACCGTTATACGAAGACGAGGACCCGCATAAGTTTCTTTTTTTGGTCATAGGCTGTAGTATCCATTAAGATCTTCAAATACGAAATTTGAAACAATTCCGGCGAATAATGTCGCTAAAATCATCAAAATATCCAACTAAGGGAGGTACCGTTAAATCGGCAGAATTGTATGCTGATCACTTTGTGGGGTCTAAAATGTTACAAACAGAAAGATTAACTTAATATACCTAAGGTGGGGGTTATAAAAATATTGGGTACTGTTTCTAAATATGATTTGGAAAATAAAAACCTTTTCTATTATTATTATATCTTACCCCACATTAAGGTAAAATGTATTATTTCCGGCGAACTGTTATTACATGCTACCATATCAGTTTATATCGTGGTATAGCTCAAGTATATATGCTTATTCACATTTCCCATTTATTATACACAAATACCTATTAAATATCTAAAGTGGTTAGAGTAGGTTATTCCAAAGTTTTACTTCTGTTCTGCCTTAATAAATTTTTTTGCAAACATATCTATAACAGTAAATATTAGCTTTCCCTGATTTATGTTAGCTTATTTATGAAAACAAAATGTCTCCAAAAGCATTTATTGCTAACTGTTCTATTAGACTTGATCTTGAAAATATCCAACAATTTCAGTGGGTCAACAAAAAATAGCTTGATAGCTTGATTGTAACGATTTCTTCCAGCCCACAAGTGTTACAATTTGTTGTCACCGCAGCACTTCACATTGTTAGTGGTTGTCAGCATGCACTTGAGAAGATACTTACACGCGTCTAACTTGCGAGAGTACAAATTCCAAAATGGGAGAGCTGGCACGCATGCGCAACAAAACTAAACGCAATATTTGGAGTGCAAATGTAATGAGTTAAAAAAAGAACACTTCACCCCCTTTGGGTCCAACTACTTTACATGTAGTGCTGTGGGGTTTTTGTTTCATTATTCATTTGTTTTGAGTGGAGCGGGCTAACTGATGAAGACGATTCACTCACTCATGCCGCTACTACTCCAACGATGTTGCATTACATAAAACAAAACAACAACAAAAATGGAAATGGAAATCAAAGCAAAGCAAAATCAACTAAAAATTGTAATAGATTTTCGCCTCAAGAAACACAAACTTGAGGCGAGTAATGAATGATCATCATCAACATCGTCAACATTTTGAAGATGAGTTTGAAAACTCAATTTAACAACAACAACAACAAAAGTCCAACACTTATGCTCATAACAATAACAACAACAACGACAACACAGCGTTGGCGATCTCCATTAAATCTAAGGCAAAATGTAACGTAAGTTTGCGATGTTTCTTTTTGGAGTTGCTATTGATGTTGTTGTTGTTGTTTTTGTTGCTGTTGCTTTTATTCGAATTGCATTGCCACCGTACGTACTTAAGCCATTGTTCAGTTCACACAGAAGAAGAAAAAAAACTCATCTATTTTTTCGTATAAAAGCCAATTCCGTAACTCAATGGGAATCATAGTTTGCATTCAACTATCGGAATAAACGTAACAACATTTTGTGTTTCTGACGATTTCCGATCGATCAACAGAATCGTTATCCGTGTCATCAGAAAATAAAAAATAGTCGGAGGATACGTGAATTGGGTTAGTGTTGACATCAATTTAGTAAAAAAAAAAACTAACTAAAAAGAAATACCGAAAAATAAGTGATTGTGTAATTAAACAAAAAACTATTTAAAGAAAAATATATTCAAACTATAAATAAAAACTGACAAAAACTATTTTAACAAATATTATTTTTTTTTACTAAAAATAAATAATAATTGCCTGAATTGAAAAATAAAAAATTAAAAAAATGGTTTTTTAAAAAAATTAATTTAAAGCACAAAATGTATAACAACAGTCTCAGAGGTGGAATGAAGAATTTCCGATTAAATTACTACCATTAAAATACGTCAAAGTCCTTCAACAGAGGAGATCTATAACGATTTTTAATTTTTTTTAATCTGTGTTTTTCTATAAATTATAAATTTTGCCTTGATTTCCGATTGGAATTTCGAAAACCCAAAATATTTTTAATATATTATAATATATTTCAATCCCAAACTGAAATATAGATGACGCTATACCATCCGCCGTAAAATGTCATTTTTCTGCAAATATTCAAAATATTCTTTGAAGACCTTAAAATTAAAAAAAAATATATATCAGAATAAAATTTGTTCATAAATTTTGTTAAAATAAATATTATGCACAATATTATGAAAATTAAAAGAAAAATTTGGAAAAAGTGGGCCTGATTCTTAAGGATACGCCAAAACATTGCCTTATGTTAAAATTTTTGTGATTTCGACACAAAAAAATCCACTTGTAGTCATATCGGTTAAGGATTTCCTTTATTCCGATATTGGACAATACCACAATATGTCAAATAAAAGCTTAAATAAACTATCTTTATACCCTCCACCATAGTATGGAGGGAATATTAGGTTTATCATTCCGTTTGTAACACCTCGAAATATTAATTTAAGACCCCTCAAAGTGCAGGGTGATATAAAAAACTGCACAAACTCAAAGGCCATAATTTTTACATTTTTTTAACAATTTATTGAATGAAAGCAAAAAATGTCGGAAATAGCATCAAATTTTAGAATAAGTTTAGATTTGTTCGAATTGGTCACCTTTGCAACGAATTATAGACTCAAAGAGCCAACGAAACCGTCACACGCTGCCCGATTGTTGCTCTGCGGTATTTTGGACCATTCCCGGCGAAGCGCTTGCTTGAGGTGATCGACACTTTTATATTTTTTAGTGCCAACCTTGCTTTCCAAAATACTCCAGACACAATAGTCCAACGGATTGGTATCCGGAGATTTTGGTGGCCATTGTGCGCTGGAAATGGAGCGAGGAACCTCATTTTGTAACCATTCTTGGGTGGTGTGTGCTGAGTGTGATGATGCTGAGTCCTGTTGAAATGTCCAAGGTCTGCGGCCAAAATGTTTGCGTGCCCACGGCTTTAATACACCCTTCAGAATATTTTCGCGATAACATTCGGCATTTAATACGAGCGGGGAGCGAAAATCGGCTGTTCTGAAGGCCCATACCTTCACCATGGCCGGCGCTTGAGTTCTGGTGGCCAACCGAAGGTGCACTTTTTCAGCTGACCTTTTTGACAAGTAAACACGATCATTTTGTTTGTTTACAAACTGCTGGCAACGAATGTTTTCTCGTCGGAGAAAACCAAATTCGGCAGTTCACAACCCCTTAGCTCTTTCTATGGCTTTACCCCGATCGCATTTTTCAATATTTGCTGAATGGGATACGCGATATATGGGATATTCGATATATTCAGCTCACGAGCCATTTTTCGGCCACTGCGAAACGCTTGTAAACAATGTAATAAGGTTCCACTGGATTAATTTTAACAGCTGTCGGACAAGCGGCTTAGAAATGAGAGCAGTCTGAAGTTTGTTGCAGTTTTTTCATCTCACCCTGTTCAGTTCCTAATGTGTACTACAGCCTACGACAAGAAATTTTCTGTGCAGGTCCACGTCTTTGTATATCCCCCACATAACAGTTCCTCCCTATATTCGGTATTTTGTTAAATTCGGCAACATTATACACTGGAATTGTTTCAAATTTTGTATTTGAAGTTCCTAATGGGTAAAACAGGAAACTGTCTATGCAGGTCCAGGTCTTCTTATAGCCCGAATATAAAATAGCAACGAAGTCGATTAAAAAATCGTTTTTTTATCGTGGAGCAAAACCGATTTCCTCCCAAAGCTCACGATTTCAATATGATCGCTACAAACGAAATGATAAATCATAGAGAGTGTGGAATGTGTCTATTTGTGACAAATATACTGCTATGAAAAATGTCCCCTCTTGTGGACCATTCCGAAGTGAGGATTCAAATGATGGCTATGCAAAAGCGTGTGATTTAATTCAGAAAATTAATAATTTAAAAGAAAGCAAAAATTCTGCCGCTCCGAGGATTTACCGGAAGGATTGGACAAAAATATCCCATCTTTTGTTAGTAAATGAGGAGGATGTGTGAAATTCAAAGAGAATCGGCCGCTTATTTCCCATTTCATGAGAGAAGTAATTATTCAAAATTTTGACCAGTTGTGTGAAGGCACCAGAAATATATTTATATTTCACATTCATATCAGATCTTGTGTTGGTAAAGTTATTGAGATGTACGAAACTCGAAGACAATCGGAGAATTATTTTTCTAAGAGTTTCCATTTTCTAAGAGTAATAATTATTCAAAATATTGACAATTTGTGGGGAGGTATATGATGGAGAAGGCCGATATTGGCAATTCTCGCACCTATTCTACCACTAATACGAATTTTGGGATTTACTAAGTTTTAAGAAAATTATGGTTTAACAGAATTAAACGTGAGTAGCCAGAAATGCCTTTCTAGCTTTTTCGGGCAAAACGTTCTGAGAACATCTAAAAATTCACAATTTTGGAGGTGTCTACGTCGGTGAAACAAAGTAAAGTTTGGCAAAGTTTTGGAAGAACTGACTCAGAATCAAATTTTATGTTCAATTTGAATGTGTGCTCAATGTAGATCCATGTTGTAGAATGGACATCATACTATGTTAACCTTTAAATATTGATATGTTGAAGGTCCTGCTTACATTTTTGAACTTTGTGCGCTACAATATTTTATTTGGGATTCTAACATCTAAAAACAATAACTTTTCTACCAAAAATAAATGTCCATACTTTGTTTCCTTACATAATCTCTTAATTTTGAAATGTTCGTTATTCAATTTTTTCATAACCTTTAGCCATCGTTTTTGGATCACAAAATATCAAAATTTTAATACAATCAAAACAATTATTTCCCATGCCAAAAGAAAACCTTGAAAAGCTTTTAAGAAAATTAACCAAAAATATTCAACATTGACATCCCTATTCTTATGGAGTTCACATGGAAGATGTTCAACAAAAACACAATATGTGAACATGAGATGAACTGGAACAACAAATAATACAAAAATGTTATTACTCATATGCACTTGTACGCTTGTTCATCTGTCGGTCGGTTTGTCCGTCAGTTAGCTGGCTGGCTGGTCGATTTTGTGTCAGTTTTTCTTTAGTTTCCTTATATTAAATTGGATTTTGGACGGTTATTCAATTTCAGTTCTGTTTGTTTACCTTTCGTTGTAACATCATCATCTTCTTCTTCTTCGTCTTCTATTTCACACATAAATTCATACACATGTGAGTGTGTGGATGTTGTTTATTTTTCTTTGCGGAATTTAATTATAATTTCGGTGTCTGTGTTACTGCTACTGCCATATTTTCCCAATTCGAACTTACACCAGAGCATCAGTGGTGGCATCATGTCTTTTGTTTCAATGTTATTTTTAACATGGACCATAACCTATGTACATGAAATCGTACATACATATCTGTGTGTATGTATGTATGTATTTATGTCGTTGCTTGATTGCAACTAATTTCATTGATGTTTGTATTCGTTGGTTACTCGCTCGCTGTGGAGTCGTAATACAAAACTTGGGCTCTGTTTTGGATGGAAAAGGTGTAAAAAGCCACCATATTAGGAGAGGTTGAGTGTGATGACAGAAAATTTGTTGGCAGGGGTTACATTAAAATAGAGCACATGTTCATATTTATGTTAACATAATGGCTCAATTTACGACAAAAGGAGCTGGTAAGCTATAAAAAAGCTTCTGTTTTTCTTTTGAATGAAAATACATTCATAGACCAGAACAAATTCTAAGAAATTCTTATGATACAAATGCTACAAGGACTACTCCTGTTTTATTGCGCCTGAGGACGAGAATTTCCCAACCGTCCTAGCGGAATCCTTATGAGGGCCAATACCAACACAAAACCGAAATAGTTTTTATACCCTCCACCATACATAGGGTAGGGGGTATATTAAGTTCGTCATTCCGTTTGTAACTCCTCGAAATAATAACTTTAAGACCCAACAAAGTATATATATTCTTGATCAGCGTAAGATTCTAAGATGATTTAATCCTGTCCGTCCGTCCGTCTGTTGTAATCACACTATAGTCAAAACGAATTAAGATAGGAAGCTGGATTTTTGCACAGATCTGTCTTTTGTCTGCAGGCAGGTCAAGTTCGAAGATGGGCTATATCGGCCCACGATATATAACGGTACCCCCCGATATTCGGTATTTTGATAATTTCAGCCAAATTTTTCAATGGAATTGTCTTAAAATCCACAAACGGAGTTCTTTGTGAGTGCATTACCCCCTGAAAGAGAATTTTATATATAGGTCCACGATATCGTATATCCTCCATATAACGGCACCTCCCGATATTCTATATTTTGATGATTTTTGCGATGTTATTCACCGGAATTGTTTCAACTGTCGAATATAAAGTTCAGAACAGTTACTACAGCCCATGACACAAAATGCTTATGCAGGACCACGTCTTCGTATAGCCCCCATATAACGGTTTTCATTTGAGCGGTATTTTCCAACGGATTTTTTTTCCAAATGGTGGAGGGTATAAAAAGTTCGGCCAGGCAGAACTTAGTTGCTTTTTTACCTGTTAAAAACCCCTTCTCTTTATGATAGGAAGTTACGAAGATTTGAGTCAGTATTGTCCATATATGGACCAAATGAAA